TGCAAAAACACATATTGTGACGACCCCGGTGTATGTGTGTGTGTGCGTATGTGCGTGTGTGTGTGTATGTGTGTGTGTCTGTGTGTGTGTGTGTCTGTCCGGGTATTTCAACTCGGCACCCAAGCAAGCTCCGGCACCAAAATTTTGCGAGTGAGTTTCCCGGCCAAGTGCCACCCCAGGACCGCGGCACCAACCCTCAAGCACGTCTAGGCCCCGTGTACGAGCGCCCCAAAGTTTTGGCGGGAAAATCGCTAACTCGAGAACCAGAAAAGCTATAAAGCTGAAATTTTGGGATTGTGTTTCCAATCCAAGTAGAACTCAAAGATTTCAAATTCAGCCCCTGGGGGTTCGTGGTTCTCGCGTACGGCATTCCTGGCGCGAAAATCGCTAACTCGGGAACCAAGAGGGCTGGAAGGCTGAAACTTTCAGGAAATGTTTCCAACTCATCTACAACTTCAATTTATCAAATTTAGCCCCCCGCCATGTGTGGTTGCCACGTACGGCCACGTAAAGTTTTTGGCCGGAAAATGAATAACTCCGGAACTAGGGAAGCTGGGAGGCTGAAACTTTTAGGAAATATTCCCAATTCATCTGCAACTTGAATTCATCAAATTCAGCCCCCCGTCATGCGTGGTTGCCGCGTACGGTCCCGTGAAATTTTCTGACGGGAAAATGTATAACTCCGGAACCAAGGAAGCTGGGAGGCTGAAACTTTCAGGAAATGTTCCCAACTCACTTACAACTTAAATTTTGTCAAAATCAGCCCCCTCCCTATCTTATGCGTGACTGCTGCGTACGGCCCCGTAAAATTTTTTGGCTGCAATTTGGGTAACTCGGGAACTGAGAAAGCTGGGAACCTGGGGCTTCAAGGGAATGTTCCTGTCCAAGTATTGCGTGGACAATTAACTTCCCGAAACTCGAGGACAGTATGTACAAGATGTTTCTAGCTAGCGGAATTTTCGAGAGATCTTATTACAGCACGAAACACTGCAAAAACTCATGATCGCACGGGCCCGCCAGTGCGCGTCGCCAATGATTTTTCATTGTGAAGGAAATGTTTTAGTTTACCTCAAGCCTTTCAGTGCCCGAGTACCTGCAGTCTAAACCCGCACTAAACCATCCTCCATCCCTCCGCACCTAATACCCCGCAACCCCAAACTACCCACCGCCCGGGGTATCGTTTCCCAACACCAGCACCAGTTTTCGCAACTCGCTCTCTAATCGAGGTCGAGCCCAGTTTTAACATTTGCCTCAAAACTCGGCCGAGTCGCTCGTGTAGTACTCGCTTATTTCTTGGGTTTAGGTTTGGGGCGCGGGAGTGGCGGTGTCGATTTTTACTCCGTCTAGATGTGACTGTAGGTGTCGCGTCCAAAACTGTCGACACCTCCTCATCGCCGATTTTCGCGTTGGGCGTAGAAGACCTAAATAGTCCCGTTCCCTTGTAGACGCCGTCTCCAATTCTATTTCTTGTCTCCGAGCAAGGTCCGAGCTTGTTTTTGGTCAGTGATCTCCTGTCCTGTTCCCTCTGTTGCTATCGCCGAGAACTAAGCTATCAGCCTTCTCCGCTACCCCTCAACGCCTGTAGTTCGCTCTCCGATACGGCCGGATCGGGCGGGGCCGATTTTTAGTGCTGCAGTACTTCGCTGCTTTCGTAACCAGTCGTGAGTCACTGTGGAAGTGGTTTTTTCCAGCACTTTCTAGAATAGGAAGGCAAGGGGTATATATGGGGGGCGGGGGAGGGGCAGTTCATGGTGCACTGGCTGTTCGTGGGCTCGTTTGCATGTCCGTGTCACCGGCGTTTTGTGTGGACGTGTTTTTCAGTGTGAAAAAAGCCCCGTTCTGGGCCTTTAATGCTTCCTGTTTTTCAGTTCGAAGCAGCAACAGTTGTATGGCGGAATTTCCGGGGCTCGGGAAGCACTGCGACTTCGAGGGATGCAATCTCCTGGGTTCGTCTTCGTTCTCAAAGGCGTGCACCAGCACAGTTTTAGAGCTCGGAAAGCGGGCCGTCATAGTGTCGCGAGCATTGAGAGACCACTTGGTAGTGGTGAGCTCGAGCTGCTGCTGCACTTGAAATTGCATTTTTGCAGATTTTTTGCCTGTTCGATGTGATGCTTGTGAGAAGAATTTCTGCGTGTCGCATTACTCATACGAGGCGCACCGCTGCCAGTCATCATACAAAAAGGTGAGTTTTATTATGCGTTTTTTGCAGCTATGCAATGCAAATAAATATCAACGCGTACCAAACTAGCCGGCGCGATCATGCGTTTTGTGCAATTCAGCCCATCGAACGACAAGTTGCTGCGGACACACACACACAATCCCGTGACAATATACGTTTTGTACTGCTGTTACACATCACAAAACGCATAAAAACGCATACTGACGATGGGTTGTCTGTGTATCACGGTTTTTCATCTTAAGACCTACAAAAACTGCAGGGCTGAAACTTTGGGAATTTAATCTACATGCACGTATGGGCCCCAGTCCCCAAAATGGGTGCCATTACCCGCGTGGTACCCGCGTAAGAGCCCGCCAAAGTTTTTTACGGGTGAGCTGCTAACTCGGAAACCAAAAATGCTTGGGGCTGGAATTTTAAGAGGATGTTCCCCGTCCAAGTAGGTATTAATGAGCTCAAACCCAACCCCCGGGTAACGTGATACCCGCGTATGGGCCCGCCAAAATTTTTTTCGGGCAAGTTCATAACTCGGGGATCTGAGAAGCTAGAATGCTGAAATTTTAAGAGGATGTCCCCCGTCTACCTAAGTCTCAATCAGCTCAAAACCAGCCCTCGGGTATGCGTGGCGCCTATGCCCAGGCTCACCAAAATTTTCCTCGGGTAAGGTGCTAACCCGAGAACCTGAAAAGCTAGAAGACTGCAGTTTTAGGTTAATGTTCCTCGTCCAGGTAAGTCTCAACGAGCTCAGACCCAGACATCGGGTATGTGTGGTACCCACGTGCGGGTCCGTGAAAGTTTTTTTCGAGTAAGTTGCTACTTAAAAGCCAGGAATGCTAGAAAGCTGATATTTTAAGGGGGTGTTTCCTGAT